GGTAAACATTGAGCGGCCTATAGAAACTTGCCCAAGGTCGACCGGTTGTTGTATGTTCTTTGTCTAACTCACTCCGATACACACACAGATGATGGCCCAGTCAGGGGATTTCAAAGAACCCACTCGATCAGCTGCAGCCCTGGAATCACCACTACGATCGCCGGCTACGGCGGAGTATGTCCGAGTCGCACGATGACCCATTTGGACTTGTTCTCTTTGCTCAATTCGTTGCTGCGGTCAGAATGCTTCTCTGTTTAGCTAACTATTAAGCTTGACCAATTTAACCTTGAGTATTAACAGGAAAATTGGGATCCAGTGTATCATTATCAAACATATGCAAACCAGGTGCTTGCTGAAAAGTGGATTGAGTTAGGGATATATGGCTTATATACACTGTGCATAACAAGGTCGTCCCTTCCTGTCCATACCACCTCTAAAGATGGGGAAGACAAGCCACAGACTTCAGTCTCGATAACCCAATATCCCCAATAGATAGGAGTTTCTTTACGGGGACGGTGGTGAGGATGAAGAGGACGAGGCAAAAGATGAGACTTCATGGAGCTCCTGCGGATGTAGTACCAAAGCTCCTACCCCATATAATTATGCGTTGCCCTCACTTACTAGATGCAAGTTAGACAATCCATAGCATCATGAGACTTGCCTAGAGTGTTTTCTAGATAGAGGGCTAGAGAAGGAGCCAGTGCTTCTTATTTGCATTGCTGATTGAGAGGTCTGCATGTACGGTTAGTACTAACTCTCGCGATTAACTATCTGTGAGGGATTCTACCATAGTTATCGAATAGAAGCAAGGCTTGTTGGGTGGCATAGATCATGGCCAGATGGCCGAATGGCCAAAGGGCTGCTGGAAAAAGAACCTGGAGAATTCTATATTTGCGGTGCTGATGGTCGTGCAAACAATTAGTCAATTAGGGGTAATAGCCAGGAACCATTCATTTCTATCTCTGTTTCGGTATAGGTAAACGTAGTGTCCATGCCACTTAGGGAATGCTATACCGCTGCTTAATGCTTAAAAACGAGGTGCGTCTGGTATTCTCCATCAAGGGTAATCAAGTCAAACATTAAAATCCGCAAAGTTAGACTCCACGTGTTTCACCGTCTTCCAGTTCCTTCATTTTTGCTACTTATATTTGTTGATCAAAATACGGAGTATAGTCTGTCTGTACGAGGGTGATCTTACTTTAGTAATGATGAAGTATTATTTATTAAATCGTTCTATTTTGCTAACCTTCTAGATGAAGGCAGATATCGTAAGTACGTAATGCATATTTTCAACTCGTCAGAACAGATCTGGGTTCATCCTTCTATTCCAACCTCTTAGAATAATCGCATGCCATTGATCACCCTAACACCTAGTTTATGCGGCCTTGCAGTTCTCAGCAGCGAACATCTGGGCGCAAGCGGGCAGTCGGTTGTTGTAGATGTTGTCAACAGCGAAGTACTTGTACTGCTCTTCGCAGTTGGTGGTAAGCACGGGCAAGATGCTGGCCTTCTTTTCCCATAGAGCGGAGACTGCGCTAGACTGGAAGCATCCAAACACCTCCTCCAACGCCTCATTCTCGGAGCCACATAGGTTGACATCGCGGAACTTTCCTCCGGAGCATTCTTGTGCCCCCTGGAACATGGCATCGATTATGTTGATGTAGTATGGAGAGAGAGTAGGGGCTCCCATGGTGGCACATTCATCTTCGAAGAATTTGGTGACGAATGGCTTGATCTGGGACTCGTAGTTGGAGGGGATGAGGTCGCATCCTCTGCCGCAGAATTCCTTCTGGAAAATGGTTCCGACTCTGGCAGCATCAAATGATTGGATGACTGAGGGAAGCTTGAGGCAGGAGAGGGATGGAATAGCAACGACAGTGCTACCAGCCATTGCGATGGCGAGGATGCTTGAAACGGCGAAACGCATATTGATAAGAGCTTGGGTAGAAGATTGTGACTGCGTTGAGGTTTATTCTTCGGCAGTTCAATTTGGTAGATGAAGAGTAGCTTGGTTGAATAAGAAGAGAATTTGAGGCCTTGACGTCCAAATTGGAGGTAATGGACAGCAATTTATACCCTTATCATACCTATTCATATATCTTGCTCCGGTCTCTCCCAATAATTTTTCCGAAGCCTGAGTAGATCCGCGGCCCTCCTTCCAAGCCCACTGGGGTATCATTTGTATCCAAGCCGTTCGGCGAAGTATGATCGCCGCCCATAACGTCTTCAGTCAACTGGCGGGGAACCTGCAGTTCCACAAACTAGAGACAGGGATATCTTTGTTTTCTTGGGGACTGCTCACCCGGGAAACGCGGGAAGTCGCAACTCTACTGGATTCGCCTAAAGGGTAAATTACCCCTTCGCGTATTGAGGAAAATTACTTATTATTTGACAGTGCCTCTATGGCTGATGGTAGATCAATTTTGATATGGTCTGCAGAGTACAGCGCGAATGGCAAGAACGTTTTTTTAGTGGACAGGCACTCTGCAGCATGATCTTCCCATCCAGCCCACAAACTAGGACTCCGAATACGGGTTAGGCGATTGGGGTCTGAATCCGCTTTCCTCGATATTTCTATGTTTGCGGTACCCCCTTGACAGCAGGACATGGTTGACATCTACTCCGTAGACAATTTGTTGTTTGTTAGAGCAGAACAACAACTTGACCAGCACTCAAAACCTTCCAACGGTTTGTTGTCGTGAAGAAAAGGTTGAGGCCAAGCCAAGCTCTCCTGCCAAGGTGGCCAGAGCTTGGAGCTAGCCTTTTTAGGCCTAGTTGGCAAGCTTATGCCGATCATTTGTGGAGAAATTCCGATGAATCGTCACAGGAGATATAAAATGCTACATGTCACACGTCGAAATAGACGGATCGACCGGAAGGTCAACGGGTTTGCTCTGGGCAGGCTTGGAACTATTGAGCATAGTGGTCTCTAAACATGTATACGGTAAGCTTCACAGAGATAATGTGCTTCAAGGATCATGCGGTTGGCTTTAAAGCGCAAAGAAACGAAAAATTTGGCAACAAGAAGGAAAAAGAGGAAAAAAAGTACCTGATACTATTACCCAGCACAAGGTGTCTACGATGAATAACTCGTACTCCGTACTTGGTACGAAATAGGGAGTACGGAGTTTTATTGCAGGCTCGAAGATACATCAATTGACGCAACGGGGCAGCTTCTCTCGCCTAGGGAGGAACTACTTTGGATAGAATGCCATATGATACCCCCATACTGCTGGGATAAGAACAAGGATGATGGACGTGAGCCACTTGAGGTGACTGTTTGATGTCGAGTCCCACGAAGCTCTCAGCTCCCTTGTTGCTCCTGCATACAAATCCACTGTCGCCATTTTCTTCCTCTGCCATCCAAGCACTGCCAGAAACAGATGCCAGTACCTAAACTCTGGCCAATGTATGTCGAGAACTTCAATAACAGTATCTCTATGGCACTGCCAGAGCAGAAAGTCACTTAGCCTGCAGACGCCAGACGTCCGGATTAGAACATCCAAAGGGGGATCATTGCAGATATCCATATTGTTATCAATTGTCTCGGCTGTGATATTTCCCCTTTCCCCGTTTTTTGGCGAGTCGTTATGGTTTCGCACTGTCATTTCTATCGCTCTTGCCATTTCATCGCGAGATGTATAGGAGAAACAAACGTTGAGCGTTCCCTCGTCATAATCCGCGGTCTTCTCGACCAACTTTTTAATAAGTTTCCTGATTTTCTCGGGGAGCAGTTCCAAGCGACCGAGAACCCGAAACCGGATCTTGCGTTTATTGGGAGAGCGAGATAAATACTTTTGTACCCAAATCTCAGATATGTCCATTAAATCGTCCACCTGCTCCTTTGGCCGCTTGAAGTTCTCGATGCTGAATAGATATGCGGTGACGCATTCGACGCCAGTATCAAAGAAAAGATCCAAAATCTAAAGCAGTAAATAAGTCGATGTTCACGCAGGGTGTAGGTAATATTACTTTACATCGTCCAGATTCTTCGCCCCCATCTGATGGCCTCTTTTTACATTAATCTCACTAGATTTGGCCCATCGTCTGTTCCCATCTGCAATAATGGCAATATGTTTGGGAACAGGGCCCTGTTGAGCAATATTCATCAGTAGGTTTAAAACAAATTGTGAACTCCATTGGTTCTGTAGTATCTGAGCCAATGGCATGTTAACAGATAGCAGTTGGGCTGACAGGTAGTAAAAGCGAGTATGTTTGGCTTTTCTAGGTCAAGTTGACCACGACAGCCGGTGGTATTTATTTGTCCGAACGTTCCAAAGCGAAATAGTGGATCCATCAAGCTGCGGGTGATGGCACCCGAGCTGGCGTCCATGGTGGAGTCCTCGGCCCATAGTACAATTTCATGGTAGGGGACGGTCAGCAAAACAAACAAGAAATATACCAATCAAATAACGATATAGATTCGAAGCGAACTTTCTCGCTTCCATGAACACGTATCCGCCCTGGGAATCCTGTGGTATATAGCATATCAGGCGAGCTAGAGGCCGCGGTGATCGTAAGTATGGTTACACGCCATTTCGCATGTATACGCATCACAAAACTAGCAGTCTAATTAGTTAGCTAGTTCGATTATCAACTGGGCAACAGCAACATCTTTTCCACTCGTTTTATGATATCAGCGGCCTCCACGGAGATACCTCGATCTTGACCTTCCCTTGATGAAACTCTTCTGCTTCCTCCAGGACATCGGCCCGGCGGATAGCCAGCTATTATCACAAAAAAGTAGCTATCTTCCAACAGAAAGGCTCAGGGATGCCGTTCCCTAGCAGGCTCAAGCTCCTATTTCGAGCGAGCCGTCCAACATACTGGACAACAACTTTGATATTCTATCTCATCGGACTTTTACAGGCAGGCTCATACCCCCAGTCTGTCCCAGAGACCCTGCTCGCTGTTGCTTTCTCAGCACCCCTGTGTCTAAGTAAGTAAATGTTAGTCATGGTTAAGTTCTCCCAGGCACGTAGTTGACTAGGAAAGTCGTAATGGGCGGAAGTGATATCCACGACTATGAATCAGATATAAAAAACCCTCGGAAGGGTCAGTCCTGGCTAGATGGTCGCTTTGTCGAGAAAGCAGATCATGCCTTTGTCCTAAAGGCCTGCAAAGCTGCGACAATCGGTGTCATTCTATTCGCAATACCCGCGTCTATCCAGATTCCTCAGACCATGGCCTACGTTTTGATAGCCCTTGGTGCTTCGTGGGCATATACCACTCCTCCAATTCGACTCAAAGGACGGCCATTCCTGGACTCAATTTGTGCTGGAACGCTCTATTGGTCAATCTGGGCCAGCGGCTTTTGTTTAAGGGATGGTGAAGGAAGCACTAGCTTACAGGGCTCGAATCCGAGTGTTTGGATTTTCTTCTTCTGCGCCGGCTTGCAGATGTTTACTGCAGTTCTTGATCAGAAGGCAGACTCTGCCGCTAGTATTCGAACAATAGCAACAGCCTGCGGTGAACGGATGGCTGCCTTTTTAACGGCGATAACCTTGTAAGCTCTCCCTTTCCCATTTTACATACTAGATATGGGGAAATGATAAATTGACACTGCTCTGGTTTAGCTTCATAGCAGCCGCCTCAATGGGTTTATGGACAGCTCTAGGCGCTGGTACCTTCGTGCTTTCGCTTCTATCGCTAGGCATTGTTATAGCGCCTGATAAAATAATCCCGGCAGCCTATCACATTGTTCCAGTTCTAGCTACCTTGAGCGTTGGGTGGGGGGTTTATGGGATCTATAATGTCCATCGGGGCCAGCCTATCGTCTGGTGAATAAGAATAATAACGCTAATGCTTCAGTCTCCTCTACGCTCAATACCTAGCGACCCCCGTCACTATTATAATGATAGGGTCCTTATTATTATCAGCTCCTAGCTTATATCGGTGGTCTCAGGTACCTATCAATTATTAACTGGCTTTAAGTATTAACTGACTTCATTGGTAAATATTCATCTGTAGCCACCGGCTGAAGCTAAGTAAACAAGTAAATGCTATAGCTTCCTTTTATTCTTCTCCCTGACGCCATTTAAGCCAACCAACCCACCTCCTGGCTGCCATACGTCTTTAAAAACCCTCAACCTCCCAGCTCCGTCAATAATGATAATACAAGGAAACAAACAGCAAGGGTGCCGTACAAGGAACAAAGGAAGTGTAGAGGTGTAAGAGATCTGCCTGTCGATGAAACTCTGGGTGATTTGATGGGTTAGTACCAAGAGTATGCTTGCTTGAGTATCTGCCATTGTTTCATAACTTAAGAGTGGGGGGGTCATGGGGAGTATTGAAAGATAAAGGAGGTGTAGCATTTTGTATCGCGGATATCAAGAAGAAATAATAGAGCAGGGATTTAGTGTGGTATTGGATCTCGAGGTTGGAGCACGGTGTGTTTCCTATGTTGCAATACACAGACCAGCTCCAGCTCCAAAGGAGAGTTAGGGATAACTTCCGTCACTGTAGCTCTGTGTGGGGGACCATATGTATGGCCTTATTGTCTTCTATAGTGGCTTGAGAGAAATGGACCTTCTTCTCAGCACAGTTAGGCAACCTTGTTAGTTCGGATACAAATGAGTGACCCCAGAATGCACTATCAGAGCCATATTAGCTTTTACAATCTGTAAGAGTAATTGGTGGTTGACTATACGAACCTGGTGTACTTGTTAATATATCTCTCCAACTTGGTATAGTTCAGCTTCCGCTTCTCCGGGCTCATGGTGACGGCTTCTTTGTAAGCTGCAGCCAGCTCCTCGGTATTCCAGGGGTTGATTATCAGGCTGCCATTAAGGCTTTGGGCAGCACCGGCAAATTCTGATAGAATGAGTACACCATTGCGATCCCGCTGAGTAGCAATGTATTCGTATGATACAAGGTTCATTCCATCTCTAGTTGAGGAAACGATGCACACATCAGAGACAGCATATAAAGCAATGAGCTCGTCAAAGTTGACTGATTTATGCAAGAAGTGTATTGGCATAAACTCGACAGTTCCTAGAAGTATTCGTTGGTTAGGCAGCGGTTTGGTAGCCAGCAGTAACTTTTGAGTACGTACCAAATCTCCCGTTTATCCGCCCTACGAGCTCGTTTACGACGGCTCTGAGGTTCTGGTACTCCTCAACATCCTGCCTACTTGGGACAGCAACTTGAACCAGTACAACCTTTCCAATCCACTCCGGATGGTCGGTTAAAAACACTTCAAAGGCATGAAGCTTCTGGGGCACTCCCTTGATGTAGTCTAGCCTGTCCACGCCAACCATCAACTTGACACCCTGAAACTTTTGCTGAAGCGCAGCTATCCGCTTCTGTACTTTTTCCCGCTTTAGTCCCTCTGTGAACTTTTCGGGATCTATACCGATTGGGAATGCTCCGACCGTTACAATCTTCCCAAGGAACTCTACTCCGTTAGGTGTGGTCGGTAGACCCCTGACATATAATAGTTAGCAAGTAACAGTCAAGCTGCGAAGAAGTATAAGAAGAAATGACTAACAGTATTCGCGAGCAACTACTTAGGAAGTGACGGGCGTAGTCGTATGTGTGGAAGCCTATGAGATCACAGTGAAGGACTCCGAGCAAGAGCTCGTTCCTGACAGGCAAGATTCGATATATCTCGCTACTTGGAAACGGCGTATGTAGGAAGAAGCCGATCTTGACATCCTTCTTGCTATCTCCAATCTCTTCCCGCAACATTGAAGGTAGAAGCATCAGGTGGTAGTCATGTACCCACACCAGGTCACCGTCCTTGACATCTCTCGCGATTGCCTGGGCGAACAGTCGGTTTGCTTCCTGGTACGCCTCCCACGCAGACTCGTCGAAGGTAATATCTCCCGGGTGATAGTGGAAAAGAGGCCATAATATCGAGTCTATATCACCCCGCAATCGACTTGTCAGCACATAGTTCGCTACCAGTTCTAAGGCAATATTCTAAATAAAAAAAAAAGGGGGCCATGGTAAAAAAGAAGAGAAATAAGAACGACGAGAGCTTTTTACGCACTGGAGAAGCCGTTGTAGTGTCTATCTGCCAGATCGTTGTCGATAAAGACCGGAACAGCATTATAGTCCTCCTTCAGCTTCTTCTTGAATATATCGACCTCGTCGAACGGCACCTCCAGGCCCGGCCACCCATACCACTGAAACTTCGTTGTCTTGGACAGGCCGCTGAGACCGCTCACGAGACCCCCCGAGGACATGGAGGACTCATATTTGCCCTGGCTAGAGCGGGAGATGGTGATGGGCAGCCGATTTGAGACCAGCAGCAGCCTCGACTCCGCGCCGCTCTCTATTGCCGGCATGGCTGTGTGTGGTTGTGCTGTGGGCGGACTTGGGAGCGTGGGGGGTGGGCTGGTGAAGAAGTTGCTGTGGATGTATCTGTTCACGCGATACCTTGCACTTTCCGGCGGGCAGGGCGAGGTCCAGGGCCGACGGGCAGCGACGGAGACGGGGGCAGAGCAGAACGGTCGAAGCGGGCGATGCTTGGGCGCACTCAACGGGGTTTCGAGGGTCGTGTCAACGCATGGGGGAAGCAGGACGACGGCGGGCAGGCGGGCAGACGGCGCTCTTCTCTCGTCAGGGAGAGCTTGCTTGTCTTCTTCTCACGTCACGGCCCGGAACAGGGCGAGCAGACGAGCCACCTCCGGGGGAGCTAAAAATAAGAGCCGGCGGGGACGAAGCAGGGAAGAAGAAGAAGCAACTTCAGTGACGCCACCAGCTTGGCGGGCAGCAGGACGGCGAGACAGAGCTCGAGGAACGACGGCGGCGAGGACGAGCAGGCGTAAGAGGGACGGGACAGACGGGCTGGCTGGAGCTGGAGATGGTCCTGGGCTGGGACGGTGCCGCAGTAGCGAGCTCGTCTACGAAGCAGGCCAGCTAGATAACTACTGATGCCGGCGAGCAGGACGTCCGGACGACACGACGACGAGGCAGACGACGGCCGACGAAGCTCCTTTTGAGGCTGATATAGGTCAACGATAGGCGCAGTATGCGAGGCAGCAGCAGAGCTAGCTGGTTCTAGCCCGGCAGCGGAGGCAAAGGCTGGTGGTTTAGATACATATATATGCAGGGACACCAGCGTCACCGGCATCAGCGTCACCACGGAGCCAACTGCTCGATATCTGACGGTCCTCGCTACGGCGCATTCCGATGAGCTTGAACAGTCCTTCTGCAGCGCTGGAAATCAGCCCGGGAGTCAGACTTGCACCATTTATTTGCTCCGCTCAAATTGCTCGTATAACTAGATACAGCAAGAAAAAGTCTGCGGGTTTGCTGCTGGGTTTGCTCTCTACGCCTAAATAGCAGTTGCATCAGCACTGCTTGCTTGCTTGCTATCCCCAGTGCTACGTGAGTGACAGGCAGGGCGCCTCGGAGGCAACGGGATGGTTGGTTTCACTTGGGGGTTCGAGATGCGGCTATTTATTTGTTGACGGAAACAGGCGCTTGCTTGCCACCTGGGGATTTTTTTGATTCCATGGTTAGACGTGAAGCAACAGGCTCGCAATGCCCGCCGCCACTGATACATATATACATTGAGATGGGTTGATAGCTAGCTAGCTAGCTAGTGATGGTCCAATTCGTCTCACAAGGCCGCTGTTTTACTGCTACAAGACCATCGGCCCGTTTGTTCATCGGTGGTCACTTTTCCTTCGTGCTCCAGTTTGTTCAGGACCTGTATCACTCCATGCGAAGCAGGAAGATGCAAGCTCTCCGGCACTGCAGCATAGATAACTTTGACCAGCTCAATGGGGGTCCAGCCGGAAGGTTTCGTGTCACCGGGCTGGCTGCTATCGAGCGAACCGTACTTTAACACCCGCAGAATCTCGTCTTCCCTCTGCTGCCGGTGCCGGATGTACTCTGCTATCTTAGACTTGCAGTTCTCAATCACCGGGCCGTGGCCAGGGTATCCTCTGGCATTAACACTGGCTTTACCTCCCATCTTCTCCAGGCTGGCCATATATGTCTTTAACTCTTCAAAGACCGCCGTTCCCTGGCCCAGGACATCTTCAAGTAGACAAAGCAGGTCAGCTACGTAATCGTGTAGCAAAGACAGCTATACTCACTATCACCGGTAAACATGGCTTCCTCCTCCTCCATCAAAAACACAATGTGGTCTCTCGTGTGCCCAGGCGTATGCAGTGCCTTCACTGTTGCTCCCACCACACTAAACACCTGCCCATCTTCAATACCGCATTGCTCCTCGTCTTTCTCTGGATCATGCTTATACACCTGCACATCAGGGCATATCCGTCTCAAGTCCCGTACACCCCCGACATGATCGTGGTGCCAATGTGTTAGCAGAGCGTGGGAAATAGTGGCCCGTTCACTGGTGAGTGTTTGCTGCAACGCCACTGACCACGACGGCTTGCCTTCCCCCGTATCGATGAGGAGGCGTTTAGCTCCACGGCCAAGTAGATAGGTATTTGTTCCTGGTTACGCAGTGTTTGTTGTTGGTTTTTTCTGCACCATGCATCACTGTGACGGCAAGACGGGCGTGCATACCTTGGAGTGTGAACTGGGGAAACGGGTTACTCTACTGGCACCAACTATTGGCGAGTGGACAGACGTACCTTGCCAGGATTTCCCCCTAGAATCCTTATCACAGAGGCACTGAGCCTCTCTACCTCTGCGAGGGGCACCAGTTGCGTTGCCATTAGCCAGTGTAAGCGTGCGTGTTCTCCCCAGCAGATATGATAAATGGGTATCCTGCTTGCCGATTTCAGGGGTATATATATATATCTTAGCAGATGGAATAGATAGATGGAAACTTGTTCTCTTGATATATACCTAGTGTAAGTCCGGATATTCGTCTATCATAATCCTTTTGTGGTTTCTCCCAACGCTGGGGGCTGAAGCGGCTTCAATAACACTTTTACCTCGGCTGAATTACCGTACTTAGTAAGCGCTCGAGTTCAGACGAACGGAGTCGAAGAGTTGAAGAATTGGATGAAAAAAATTGGATGAAAAAAGAAACCTGAATGATTATTCAAGTAGTATATATACACATGCAGGCAAGCAACATGATCTTTGGCTTTTGAGATAAGGTAGGACAAGCAAGTTGGCAAAATGAAAATACAGCCAATGTGCAACTGCTGGTGATTACCTCCACTTCATCATCAATGGGACATGAACAAAAGCATCAGCTCGACAAAAGAGGCGCAAGGGGGTGTATTTAGTACATAGGAAAAAAGAGACAAAAATAGACCACATAGAACCGATAGGCGAAGAAGAACGAAGAAGTGCGGTAAACAGCAAAGGCAATATAAAAATCCCTCTCAATCCTCTATTGGCTGAAAATAAGACAACATTAGACTTAAGTCAAGGGGGAGAGCTGTTTACTGAGCCTTCTTGGCCATGGTGTTCAAGGCGCTTCCGTTCTTGAACCATTCGATCTGGCTCTCGTTGAAGGTGTGGGAGAGCTTGACGTCGAAGGAAGCACCATCCTTGGGGTGGACACGGAGAGTCATTGGCTTGCCAACGGCGAGCTCAGTGCACATCAAGTCAACCATGGCAGTTGGTGGGATGCGGTCGTAGTCAGCGGGATCAGCGAAGGTAAGGGGAAGCATTCCCTGCTTCTTAAGGTTGGTCTCGTGGATACGGGCGAAGGAGCGGGTGATGATGGCCATGCCGCCGAGATGGCGGGGCTGGAGAGCAGCGTGTTCACGGGAAGAACCTTCTCCGTAGTTCCAGTCACCAATGACAACCCATGGGATGCCGCGGGCCTTGTAGGCACGGGCGGTAGCAGGGACGGAGTCATATTCGCCAGTCTCGAAGTTCTTGACGCTGTTGCGCTCACCGTTTTCGGCGTTGACAGCACCGATGAGAAGGTTGTTGGAGATGTTGTCAAGATGGCCACGGTACTTGAGCCAGGGACCGGCCACTATAACGGGGTTAGCAATTTATCTTACAATATTACGGAAGTTGTTACTGAGATCAAGAACACTTACTGGAAATATGGTCAGTGGTGGTCTTGCCCTCACACTTGATGAGAATTGGGATGCCCTTGGCGTCCTTTCCATCCCAAGCCTTGAATGGCTCAAGGATCTGGAGACGGTCACTGCTTGGGCTGACGGCAACGCTGATGGAAGCACGGTCAGCTGGAGGAGCCTGGTAGGTGTCACGGCCTGGGTCGTAGCCATTGGCTGGCAGACCCTCGCCGGTTGGGGGAGCGAGCATGAACTCGTTTCCGTCCTTGTCCTTAAGCTTATCGGTCAATGGGTTAAAGTTGAGGGTACCGGCGATGGTAAGAGCAACAACGAGGTCGGGAGAGGTGACGAAGGCGTGGGTGGCAGGGTTGGCATCGTTACGGCCAGTGAAGTTACGGTTGTAAGAGGAGATGATGGAGTTGGCTTCGTTCTTCTTGACGTCCTTACGATCCCACTGACCAATGCAAGGACCACAGGCGTTGGCAAGGATAACACCGCCGAACTCCTCGAGGGTCTTGAGCTGACCGTCACGCTCGATGGTGGCACGAATCTGCTCAGATCCGGGGGTCACGGTGAAGAGAGACTTGGCCTTGATGCCGTGGTTGAGAGCATCACGGGCAATGGAAGCAGCACGGGACATATCCTCGTAGGAGGAGTTGGTGCAAGATCCGATGAGACCGACCTTGAGTTCAGAGGGCCAGTTGTTTTCCTTAACGGCCTCCTTGAACTTGGAGATGGGGGTAGCAAGGTCAGGGGTGAAAGGACCGTTGATGTGTGGCTCTAGCTCGCTGAGGTTGATTTCGATGAGCTGGTCATACTGGGCGTTCTCGTCAGGGCGGAGTCCCTCGGCGTAGACGCGAGAGAAGTCACCAATGGACTGACGCTTGGTAGCCTTGAGGTAGTCGTACATGCGGTCGTTGAAGGGGAAGACGGAGGTGGTAGCACCAATTTCGGCACCCATGTTACAGATGGTACCCATACCAGTGCAGGAGAGAGAGTTGACACCATCACCGTGGTACTCAATGATGGCACCAGTGCCACCCTTGACGGTGAGAATACCAGCAACCTTGAGGATGATATCTACGCGACAGTTAGATACTGAAGATCAACCTTTTTAAGCTATAGAAAGAAAACCTACCCTTGGGAGCAGTCCAGCCAGACATTTGACCAGTGAGCTTGACACCAATGACGTTGGGGGCCTTCAATTCCCAGGGAAGACCAGCCATGACGTCGACAGCATCAGCACCACCAACACCGATAGCAGCCATACCAAGACCACCACCGTTAGGAGTGTGAGAATCAGTACCGATCATCAAACCACCGGGGAAACAGTAGTTCTCGAGCAAGATCTGGTGGATAATACCGGATCCGGGCTTCCAGAAACCGATGTTGTACTTGGCACAAGAGGTGGACAGGAAATCGTAGACCTCCTTATTGATCTCGTTGGCACGGGCAAGATCCTTGTCACCACCGAGCTGGGCCTCAATCAAGTGGTCACAGTGGACGGTGGCAGGAGTAGCGACTGATGGCATGCCAGCAGACATGAACTGGAGGATGGCCATCTGAGCAGTGGCGTCCTGGCAGGCAACACGGTCTGGGCGGAGCTTAAGGTAGGACTTTCCACGCTCGATCTCCTGACCATGAGGGTCGTCAAGATGGGAGTAGAGAATCTTCTCGGCAAATGTGAGTGGGCGGTTAAGACGAGCGCGCACAATGTCGAGGTTCTCAGCCATTTTCCTATTACCCAATGCGGTTAATATGACGCTCAAGCTAGAATTTCGCCTCCGCGATTCAATGCATACTTGTAGTTGATGTAGTTGCCCTATAGCCGTCAATTAGCCCCTAGCCGCTCCAAACCCTTTTCAATTGAAGTATTTACCTTCTCCCAGTTGGTCATCTCGACCTTCTTGTCAAGGTCAGCGGCAGAGGCAAAACCCCGCGCTCCGAGAAGCTATACAGACACGACTAGCGGTTAGAAAGCGTCACGCTTGAAGCCAGGAACAGGCTGACAACACTTACGAGGCGGGTTTTTGGTGCCTACAAAGAAGATGGTTAGCATTTGGCTGGAATAACGGGCGTGAGGAAGAAGGGTAAAAAAGGACGCACCATGGCACTGGCACGAGCGAGTGTGGTGAGCATGATGAGAGTCGATGTTCCAGCACGACTTAAGAAATCAGGGTAGAGTCATCCACCGTCGAGGCCGCACTCGAACAATGGCGCTGGTTATATAGAGTGGAGTGGTCTGGCGAAGGGAGTTGGTGAAGAGAAAGGAAGAAGAAGGGAAAAAGCAGAAGATGTCGCAGAAGTTGAGGTTTAAAGTAGCCGGGAAGAAGGTCATAACACTGGCCAATCAGCGAGCTGCCAAATTGCTGTTACTAAGGCCAGTTCTGCCGAGGTGCCCGCGCAAGTCACGTGATAAGGGTAACTGCGGAGGCGGAAGAAGCGCAGGAGAAGATGACTAAGCTGAGAGATAAAAAGCTGGGGGAAAAATTTGCTGGTCTGCAGACGCGCTAGACCAAGATAGGCCTAGCGTAGGGCTGGATAGCCAAATCGGACGACGCTGGTTGGCTGGGCTGGTGAGTGGATTCCACGTGATTCGGCGGCGACGGCGGCCGAGTGGTTTACGGGGAAAAACGGTCCGTCATTCTCCGTCAAGGCGTTCACGGGCCACCGTTGCGAAGAGGAAGGGTTCTTCCGATGGCGGGCTCTTTAACTCCGTCGCGTTGCTACCTAGGTTTCCTCTTTGATCCAGCATTTGTCATTTGTAAAGACAGCACACTCGCAGAGTACGTATCCTGTGCCTGAGCAAGCATCAAAAATAACTTGGGCTATTGTTTGATGATGATGGTAGATTGTGGCTGCCTCTTGCTCTGGAAGGTCCAGGTGAATACGAAGCTTCACCAGGGTTTCAACTGTTGCAGATTACCGTCGCTCCCACAGGGGTCACATCTTTGTGTGCCATGATTGACGACCCATAAATCATGATACAAATCTAACCTACAACACATTCAACCTTGTAAGATCCTTAGGATGAAAACGTTCGATGTTTCTGTATCTGTACGGAGTAAACAATAGTCAAACAATGATGTAATACAAACAGATCAAACGCCAAGTGATTATCAAGATGCTTATTAATTAACTTTTTCTCACAACCACGAAAGAAATTTTGTTGCTGATAACGGAGATATCAAGATCGATCAGACCAGCATCAACATATATTCAAATACGTAATTTATATACTACAATAATGGGTTCAATTCGCCGATCAAAGACAAAGCGCCGTACTCGGTATGCTCTACTCTCCGAGTCCGTTCGTTACGTTTGATTCTAATCGCTGTCCAGGGACTACGACCAAGTCGTTGCTGATTTGCGTTCGCGCAAGCACCTCACACAGTACCACAGCACAAAAGATGTCGAGGACCTTCCAGGCCTAGGGAAACATTACTGTGTCGAATGCGCCAAATGGTTTGAGAGTGAATACAACCTTGTCGCTCATAGAAAAGGAAAGAATCACAAGCGAAGGTCGGGCACTCTCCCTGGTTTGAACTGCTTGTACAGGGCATGGGCTAACATGTTCTTGATAGACTACGAATGCTTTTACATGAACCCCATACACAGAAGACAGCAGAGGCGGCCATTGGACTCGGAGTAGACAATGGAACGAAGTCAACCGATAGCAACGTCGCAATGGAGATTGAGACCGATGTGTGATGTATTCGTTTCTAGTAACAAAGCTGAGAACGACCGAATTAATTCGTTAGTTATTGGATATGGCCCGCATGGATGAATTGAACATGCGGTGGTTGACCCCCGTACGCGCGGACAGCAATTACCCGCTCGCGGGGTTGACGGAAAGGGAGTTGGCGGCGCAGGTGAAATGAAATACGACGGAGTCGATTGCAGCCCCTATCTCCCAACTAACTGAGTGAAAACGGGAAAATATACCCTTTCAACAGGCCTTGAACAGGGAGGTATATTGAGGGCTACTTCTGGATGGATATAATCTTAAATTTAAAGGGGAAATGATGGGTTCTATATCTATATTGCTGCCATAGCTTGTCTTTCATTGAATACCTTCATCATCCATTCATATATTGCCCACTACAAAGGAGGCTATGGTCAGCTCTCAATATGAGTGTTGTGGAGCGAAGAAAGCTTACCTGGACAGCGTTCACCCCAAAGGCTCGTAGGCTACATACCCCTAGCCCTCTATAAAACACCCGTAATCCGTCGGTCCTGTATGCTTCTTTACTTATTTCCCATGCATCGAGTACCCTGTGCCTTTCATGAAGCTTTCCTAGCAGTGACCCTCTCTCAACGGTAGTCGCTGATGTAAAGGATTTCTGGGTTTGCAGTCTTGTCTTAATGACATCCAGAGGAAATACAGATGCCCAAGTCACTATACCAGCTATTCCACCACATATGAGCGTTTTCAATGCCTTCTCGTGCGCTGTTTCATCATTCCGCGAGGCCATGCGCTTGCATAGCTCGTATGACCAGAAACTACGCTGTTAGCATCCCCGGCGACTTGCATCCAGTGGAACAGAAAGTGGACATACTAGAATCCATATCCCACTGCATCTCTCACGCTTGTAATGCCTCCACCAAAATACAGCCCCTTCACTCCATTACTTCGAACAATACTCTTAGCAACTTCCCATGAGGATACTGCTTCGGCACCAGTGCCTCTATGCATCTGAGCTCGACATTTCACGAGCTCCGTAGGTGAGGAAACCAGCCAGCTAACCATCCCTCCAACTGCCCCAGCAACCCATATTTGACCTAGGGTAGCCTCTAGGGGCTCTGTGGGGTTCTGCACTCGTGGTTCCAAAGTTGTCAAGCTGCGGTTGTAGCTAGTGAATAGTAGGGCGTTCAAGGCGCCATATGTTAGGACTGGAGCCGCGGCACCTATATGGAAATTGTTAGAGGATGTATTCCAAGACGTACATGGGGTACAGGTGCTGTACCTCGAACTAACGAGCTTTTCGATTCAAACTGACGGGAGTAGAATGCATTCGATCCCCTTATTCCAGCTGAATTAGCTTGGAGACGCACTTTGATTACATCAAGCGGGTTGCCAATGACTATCCCCACGGCTCCGCTGAGGTACCCAGCCCAGAAATCCGCAGACATTGATGCATTTCTCTACCAATAACAGCCTATTCACACGAATATCTACAACTTCGCAATGTATTCCGGGGAGTGAGATTATAATAGTAGCCCACTTAGTGGGATGTGATGGTGGGGGATAAGATGCCGAGGTTAAATTTGCGTCACGTGGAGCCGCGCCGATTTGGTGATTTGACGCGTTGAACTATCTTTAGAAACCAAACAAACGCGTTCGAACGTCGACTTCATAACGACAACGACAAGGCAGCCATTTGGTCTATCACAGCTTTTTTTGGACGATTTGATGTACGTATCACTACTCTGAGATTAATGACTGACAAATGACTTACACTGTGTTTGTAGGCATCGACCCAAGTCTTCCGTCGCTGGATCGACGCCTTCCAAAACTGGCCGCCTCTACACCGTTGGCCCCCAGGCTTCACAGGCTCTTTCAAAACCTTTCAAATGCCCCGGTTCAGAAGCCCGTCGAACATCTGATAAGCCTGCCCGCAAGCTCCGTAAAGTGAACTATGCAGGCGCAGATTGTAGTGCCGAGGATGATGGCGCCAAACCATGGACAAATGAGGACAGACTTGCCCTCGCAAACCGTGACGCCAACCGCTTCCCAGTATTCAAAGTTAAAGATAAAGAAACCACCTTCCGCCAACGGTTTCACGTTCCTTTGATCGACAAGTCGAGTGGTAACTACAGTTCTGGTCGTGCTGCCCCGACTCTGGGAATGCGTTGTGGTGCTACTTTCGTCGTTAAACCTCTACATGATCCCAGCGGAGAGTTTGCAATCGTACTTTATGACCCAACTATCGATGATAAACCGGATGACAAGGATGAAAGCAAAGACACTGCTGGAAACAAGGAGGGTGAAGAGGTCGAGCAAAAGAAGTTGAATCAGCCACTAGTGCATAAAAGCCTTGCGGAAATATTGGGGATCAAGAAGAATGTTGACGAAAGACCCAAAGTACCCGTCGTTATTGATCCGAGGCTTGCAAAGATTTTACGACCACATCAGATTGAGGGTGTAAAGGTATGTTTTTTTGGCTTGCAAAGTAATCGTTAACGTGTGTTCCTTGCCTTGCCTAACCCCTGTAGTTTCTATATCGATGTACGACCGGACTTGTTGATAAAAATGCCCATGGATGCATCATGGCAGACGGTATGGGGCTCGGTAAAACAGTAAGTTTTCTATTCGCTACGCTTTCCGTATTAAGCTGACATCTGTAGTTGCAATGTATCACGTTGATGTGGACCTTACTTAAACAATCGCCTGAGGCGGGTAAACCTACAGTCCAAAAGGCGGTTATTGCATGTCCAGCTACGCTAGTAGGCAACTGGGCAAATGAACTAGGTATGTTCGCAAAATTCCGCCTTTACGTATTATATTCTAAAAATTTTAGTGAAATGGCTGGGCAAGGACGCTATAAACCCCTTTGTGATCGATGGGAAAGCTTCAAAGACGGAACTAACATCCCAGCTAAGGCAATGGGCAATTGCTTCTGGTCGATCCGTTGTCAGGCCTGTGTTGATTGTTTCGTATGAAACACTGCGAATGAATTCAGATGAACTTCGGGATACCCAAATTGGGCTTCTTCTCTGCGACGAAGGGCATCGGCTAAAGAATGCTGACAGTCAAACTTATGTAGCACTGAACAAGCTCAACGTCCAGAAACGCGTCATCCTTTCTGGAACTCCAATTCAAAACGACTTGTCTGAATACTTCAGTCTTCTCGACTTTGCGAACCCGGGTATACTAGGGTCACGAAGCGAATTCCACAAGACATATGAAATTCCCATTCTCCGTGGCCGTGATGCAGATGGGACTGATGAGCAGCAGAAGAAAGGCAATGAGCGTCTTGCTGAACTTCTTAATCTCGTTAATAAGTTCATTATTCGAAGGAGCAATGACCTTTTGTCCAAATACCTCCCCGTCAAGTATGAGCACGTTGTATTTTGCAATCTTGCTCCATTCCAGCTGGATCTATACAACCACTTCATCCAGAGTCCTGAAATCAAGAGTCTCCTTCGTGGTAAAGGAAGTCAGCCTTTGAAGGCAATTGGTATTTTGAAAAAGCTTTGCAATCACCCCGATCTTTTGAAGCTCTCAGAAGATCTACCAGGATGCGAGCAATATTTCCCCGAAGATATGACGGTATCCAATGGCCGCAGAGGGGACCGTGAAGTTAAGACTTGGTACTCTGGTAAAATGATGGTCTTGGATCGAATGCTTGCACGTATCCGACAGGATACTAATGATAAGATCGTCCTGATCAGCAATTACACGCAGACATTGGACCTTTTTGAGCGTCTGTGCCGAGCTCGTGCGTATGGCTGTATACGCCTTGACGGAACTATGGGTGTTAAGAAACGGTCAAAGCTAGTCGATAAATTTAATGACCCGAACGGAGAAGAGTTTGTCTTCCTGCTCTCCAGTAAGGCAGGCGGATGCGGCATCAACTTGGTTGGAGCAAACCGGTTGGTACTCTTTGATCCCGATTGGAATCCTGCCGCCGACCAACAGGCATTGGCTCGAGTGTGGCGTGATGGCCAGTCAAAGGACTGTTTTGTTTACCGATTCATTGCCACTGGCACGATTGAGGAGAAGATCTTTCAACGTCAATCACACAAGCAATCTCTATCATCATGCGTGGTTGATTCAGCCGAGGACGTCGAGCGCCACTTCAGTCTCGACTCACTTCGAGAACTCTTCCAGTTTAAGCCAGGTACGACCAGTGACACACATGATACATTCAAGTGTAAACGCTGCAGGCCGGATGGGACACAGCATATCAAGGCACCTGCAATGCTGTACGGCGACACGAGTTCCTGGAACCATTTTGTCAACACAGGCGAGAAGGGCCCTATGAACCGGATCCAGGATTTATTGTTACGCCAGGAAACGAGCGAGCAAGCAGTCAGCGCAGTCTTCCAGTATATCAGCCATTAATTGGAGTATTCATTGCTATTTCGATAGAGGTCAGCGTTTATGTATAGCTGGAGCGAAAGCTTGAGATAATTCTTTTATATGCCACATGATTAATGTAATATTCAGAAACGAGGTCTAGAATATATCAAACTCATTTATTCATCCGTTTGCTCTTATAGCTATGCGCCCTGAGCTAATGCCTGGGATGTCGTCATTAACTCCATTAGTGTCTTGGTTATATCGACGACGTTCTGCTAGTTACACCTCAGATTCTCTGCTACACAAACCGTCAGGAGACGCTAGATGCCAGTGGGTTCTAGAGCTTCTCCTTCTGCTTCAAAATCCAGCCAGCCTGCTCAGTAGCAGTAACAGTCTACAGCCAGTATCCACCTGCATTGATAAGCGGCAGTCTCCATCGCCCGTTCGTTGTTAGTTATTCACCGCCGCAGCCAAGTTCCGGAGCATCACAGCAATTGGCTGCTCTCCCGCCGCCATTCAACTCCCATCGATACCAGCACCAATCCGTCATGAATCGATAGCAGCATGCGAACAGCGTCTTCCTTTAGATATACTTAGCCGAATCATCTCCTATACGCACGGCCATGGCGACGATATACATGGACCCGTCCATCCAGCGGTTGCTGAACGATAAGCTTTACGATAAGAGGAAACAGGGTGCTTTGGAGTAGGCCACTTTACTGAACCCCCCGTCATCGACAGAAGAGAGCTGAGTGATGAGCTAACGGAATACTTTACCCTCCGTGCAGACTCGAGAAGACGATCAGGGAATCTATCGCAAGAGGGGATAGTACAAAGATAAAAGGAATAATTGACCAGCTATGTCATGAATACGCCTATGCCGTGCACCAGCCCCATGCGAGAAATGGAGGCCTAATAGGCCTGGCAGCAGCAGCTATTGCCTTGGGATCTGTGAGTGACTCCAGTGCGGATGGGTGTACAAATGGTAAAGACAATAGCGGTTAACTGTGGGTTAGGATGAGGTTGCGCCCTTCTTGAAGGATATTGTGCCCCCGGTATTAGCTTGCTTCACGGGTCAGGATGCCCGAGTCAGATATTATGCCTGTGAAAGCATGTATAATATCGCAAAAGTGGCCAAGGGGGAGATATTACTCTACTTCAACGATATATTTGATGCTCTGTGCAAGGTTAGTCCCTGTTACCCAGGATGTCACTTATCGCTGCATTGACGGCATGCTAACTCTACGAGTATAAAGCTAGCATCGGATTCAGAACTGTCGGTGAAGAACGGCGCAGAGCTTCTCGATCGATTGATAAAAGACATCGTTGCTGAATCTGCAGCGTCTTATGTTTCTGCGTTAGAGGCCTCACGCCCGGACATATCAGACGAAGAGGATGGAAAAGACGTGGACGAGCTTGAGGACATACCCACGGCATTTTCACTTGCAAAGTTCATTCCTCTGCTTCAAGACAGGATCTATGTTCAAAACCCTTTTGCTCGGAATTTCCTAGTCTCCTGGCTTACATTATTGGACACAATACCCGATCTTGAGCTTGTTACTTACCTGCCAGCATTCTTAGGAGGCTTGTTCAAATTTCTAAGTGATACAAATCGGGATGTGCATACTGCTACCCAAGGGCTTCTGGAAAGGTTTCTCAATGAGATAAAACGAATAGCAAGAGTTAAAAAAGGCATTGCCGAAAGTCGTCGTGACCATGAGAGCGGACAGTCGAAGATATCTGCCAGTGATAGTAAGAGTGTCGACTCCGAATTGAGCATTTCGCATGCTGTGAGTGACAATGCCATTGCGGACTCCGAGTCTGCTACTGCGAATGACGACCATCTTAACAACCCATATGGTGACTGGGTGCCAGGTCAGGATGTTCATGTTGACCACTCGAGGATACTGGAAATTTTAGTCAATTTTGTCGATACAAACTCTGGTAAGCACCCTTACTTATCCTTATATTATGTTTTATCCAACTACTTACAGTTCTTTGCCGGCGTTACAGAGGATGAAATCCAGTTAACCGCACTTCGTTGGATTGATAGTTTCTTCGAAATCAGTCCTGCAGACATGCTGCAATTTGTTCCAAGGCTCTTGTCACAAGTACTTCCAACTCTGTCAAGCGGCTCAGATGAAGTACGGCAAGCAGCCAACCGTGTCAATAACTCTCTTATGCAGCATATTGTCTCTCTGACCGAAGATGCGCCTCAAAATGAGCCACCCAAGACATCTCCTCCCCTTGCGGCTGTCCAAGCTAGTGGTAAGGAAGGGGAGGGCCGCCGAACACCCACTCCTGTTACAAGACAGGCGTCGATAGCGTCCAGCGATACACGCAAACAAACATCACGGCCGGCATCCAGGACGGAGCCAGCTCCTGCACTAGCATCTCAACCATCAGAGCAAGCCTCGGAGCAGACATCAGACCTAGACTATGCTGCTGCAGTTAATGCTCTGACTCTTCAGTTTCTGAATGAAAATGAAGCCACAAGAGTTGCTGCATTGGCATGGCTCATAATGCTTCACCGAAAAGCCCCCCGGAAAGTTCTTGCTTTCCATGACGGAACCTTTCCTGCACTCCTTAAAACACTATCAGACCCGGCAGAAGCTGTTGTCACCCGAGACTTACAGCTTCTATCCCAGATATCTCGAAATAGCGAAGATAGTTATTTCGCATCATTCATGGTGGATCTCCTCCAATTATTTTCGACGGATAGGAAACTCCTTGAAGGTCGTGGTAATCTCATCATCCGGCAACTTTGTATGAATCTGAGTCCAGAAAGAATATATCGAACACTGGCAGACTGTCTCGAGAAGGAAGAGGTAAGGCCTCCATTTTCTCCATTCAATGTAAGATATGTTAAATGCTAATGTTACTCTAGGACATCGAGTTTGCCAGTATTATGATCCAGAATCTCAATAACAACCTCATAACCGCTCCCGAACTTGCCGACCTCAGGAAACGGCTAAGAAATCTAGAAACCAAAGTAAGCCATTTTGAGCTTATAGTTCGGTGTCACTCAATTTTAACACGCCTTTCTTTAGGATGGTCAAATGTTTTTCGTTGCGCTCTTTAGGTCATGGTGTCACAACTCTGTAGCCACATTTTCCTTGTGTTTGCTTGCTCAAGCTTATGAACAAGCATATAACCTTTTGCAGATATTGTGAGTCTTCAAGCGTCTCCACTCTGCGATTGGCCTATACTAACCCCTTTTACTTTCCAGCGCTGAGTTAGAAATGACGGTCAACATGTTGATTCAAATAGACAAACTGGTTCAGCTACTTGAATCGCCCGTGTTTACCTGTAAGAGAACCCCTAGAGCTCCAGAGGTAGAAGTGTCACTAACCCCGTAAAGACCTTCGTCTGCAACTTCTCGAGCCTGATAAATATCCATATTTATATAAATGCCTGTACGGCCTTTTAATGCTGCTCCCACAGAGCTCCGCATTTGCAGCACTGAAGAATCGCCTCAATAGTGTCAGTAATATTGGATTGCTGTATGCTGGAATGCGGCCGTAAGTAAATCCACATTAGAAGGCGTATTGCAGCTCCACGCTAATTAGTATATAGGCCAACTTTGACTGGATCGACAAGCACCGGGCCGTATGAACGGTCCGGACGACTTAAGTCCCGCGAGGAGAGCGTCATCCGATGGGCTGATCTGCTCGAAAAATTTAAGAGCGTCCAGGAGCGATCGAGAAGATCTCAACGCAGATCCCAGAGAGATCTTGAAATAGACAGGAACGGGATATCAACTTCAACCATGGCCACAGCATCGCTTCCACTGTATGAGCCAAATAGCAGTGGTATCGACAGGACGCTTTCCGACATTCCGGTCGGCGCCCTCGGAATCGGAAATGGTGCCCGACGTGCAGGAGCTCAGGGCGATTCTCTCGGGACCCAAAAGGGCGGATCGACGGCGAAATCAAAGACGCCTCTTGGTACATTTGGTCGGTTGAGCGGAATTGGGCAAAGGAAATCAAAGAAGTGATGGAGGATAGACACGCAACCAGTACTCAGAGACTACACACGGTCTTTCATAGTTGGCCGACGTTTACAGTTTACATATTCTTTTAATGAACCCTGTTAACACTAATAAACCAGCCGTCTCACATTAAAGATCACCTTCCTAGATTTCTGCGCGCCGAGCATGTTTCATCTTAATCCGTGGATCGCCATCAATCCTACGACAAGGGATAACTAGTTAAGGTCACGAAAGGAAAATTTCCACAATCCTAGCGAAGATATAGATAGAAGCAACCGTAAAATTAATGTGATCTACTTGTGTTTTTGATGGATTGCCACATAGTAGCCTATTTGCTTCCCTGCCAATTACCCCTTTCCCTTGTTTACCTGGAGCTGTAAATAACCACTGCACCCTTGGCCGATTCAAATTGTTGTGCATCGACATGGGGGAAGTACATGCCACTCATATATATATCCGCTTGAAACCTCTATCCCATGTCGCTTTTGAGGGCCAGCAGAAGGAAAACACGGGCCCCTCGTCTTCGGACGAGCAGGTCCATGGACAGCCGCAGCTGAGCTCAGTACGGGGGTATGAAGGAGCAGAAAGCTCGTACTTTTATACCTGGTACTCTTCTCCATACAATGCGGTACAAACACAGATGCCGCTTCCAAGTATAGTGCCTTGTCAGGAAGTAAAAAAGGGGGTGGGCATCAGCTAGATAAGTATATGCATGGGTTAAACAATATTACGCTGCTCCTACAGGGAATGTTAAGAATATTCCGAGAGCTCTAGGGTCCATAAATTAATCATCCCTATATGGCCATACATTTTCCCACGCTTCTTTCTCAGCTTCGTTGTTAGCCATGTATTCTAGAAATTGCTCCTTGACTACCGCAAGTTTCTTCGTGAGCACATCGTAATCCTCATGGCTGGACCAGCCCGCCCAGCCATGTTCTGAACCTCCAAGAGCTTCCAGCACATCCCCTTTCATTTGTATTCCTTCTTCCCACTTTTGCTGGTCCACCCTTTGCGCTGCAACATCAGCTTCGGTGAATTGAAGCGGGCAGGGGTGACCGTTTGGGCCCACAACTTTTTCCCAGTCAAGTGCGAGTTGTATTAGCTGCCCTTTTATGATGGGTTCTCCATCGTTGAACACTTGGGATATAAGTGAAATGATTTGGATAACCAGAGTCTGTGAATGCTGCAGCGCCTTGAAGACAGGCATGTTATTGCGACCAGACTGTATTTCGTAGATCTTAAACAGAGACTGCTTTGACTGCAGCTTCTCAGCTTCCTCCTTCTCGGCTGGGCTCAAGGAATCGAAATTGTCGGGTAGTGGAGGCATGGGTGTAAGGCCAACGGACGGATGAGGGCCGATAAAGTCGAGAAATTCGGGAGTCCGAGCTTGTTGGAAAAGTGGTGCGATATGAGTAGTTTGCCAATCGATGATGGAGAGGATTTTCGATGGATCATCCGGGTCAACAAAGATATTGTTGTCATGGAGATCACCGTGCCACAAAACTGGAATATGTATAGATGTGTCTTTGGGAAGAAGATATGCTGCAACCTTCTCAAAGTCATCTAGCACATCGAGTTTGCTCTTTGCTGTAGGTTTATAGCCTCCGGGGCCACCAAATATTCCCTCCGGCCGCGGAAACCCAAGTCCCCGAACAATGCATTCTCTTTCCCGTGTGGAGGAGGCCAGAATATATTCTAACGCAGAATTCCCTGCCACGTATTGCAGAAGTTAGCAATAATAGATAGGGTAAAAGGATAGTTACAGTGACTTACAAGGGCCTTTGTCTGTATTCACAGCCCTTCTCCCATCGTATACAAAATTTCTTTCGGTGCTGGGCCCAACAAAAAAATCCCCATAACTTGTAACCAAAAATCTGTTGCGATCCTGCACTCCATTAAGGTCGGATTTATGGTATAAACTTCCGATATGTTGGAAGTTATGGGTCAGAAGGGATTTCTCAAGTGAAATAACGGTGTTTATCAAGTTGATTTTTTGGTCTCTTTTCATGGATGGCCATTTGGAGCTCAGCAGGACACCCCTGGCCTTTTCCATAATGATGTACTCTGCACCGACATGGTTATCAGATGTATGTGGATTCCAGACATACACCTTTGGTATTGGAAGCCCAGCAACATTTCTCCCCTAGAAATATATTAATAAACCCCATCTTCAGAACATATAGAAGTGGATAAACCCACGAAGTTCATGGTGGCAGCCTCGCTAGCTGTAGTATAGAAAGGTAACCCAGCATTTTTGTTAGGCACTTTTGCAACCACTTCGTGTCCACCATGCAGGCTGATTAGGAAGACCTTGTTGTAGTCTCCTTCAGGCAGTTTTTCGACTTTAATGCAAGAAGATATATCGCAGCCTTGGGATATAGCAGCGGCTCGAACCAGTTCTGTCATGTTGAATCTGACGGACCGATCTGCCATCTGTTTGTCTTCATTAAACAGCCAGCGGCCGCCGGTATAACGATAGAAGCTCTCATCGTCCCAATTTGAAGCTAGATGGCCGTTGGTTAATTAGCTGCTATCTACGAGCGCATGCTATTAGGACTTACCATTTTGAGATTGAGGCGTGGATATCGCTCTGGGCCAACTAAGGGTACTGGGGCGGTTTGCTGAATCGTACGGATGGCATGATTGAGTGATTTTGGTACGGTACCGAGAAAGGAGACGAAGCAGCCCCATATCATATAAATGCAATAAGAAATAAACCCAGTAGAGATCTCCTCTCCCTCTTCTTCTCTTTCTCTCTCTCTCCCTCTGTGCGCGCGCGTGTTTTTGGGTCCTGCTCTGCTGCTATGCTGGCTAATATTTATCAGCTAGGGGCCAGTGGTTAAATGTGTCTTGCATAACTCAAGACCCAAAGAGCAACAACAAAACAGTCGACAATTTCCATGACGCCCGAAAGCTGCCAGGGGTAGAAAAGCGAGCTATTTAGCTAATTGGCCAGCTTGTAAGCAAGGGCAGAGCAGACTCTCGTCTCGAAAAGAGCATCAGACGTCGTTTCGATAAGGGAGCAAGGGTTCACGATGAGACTCAAGCTACAATTCAATAAATGGGGCGGACGACCCAACTCTGAAGAAACTTGCCAACGAGGACTCGCACAGAGTGACTGCAGCCATCGATAACTATCGATACCAACCAGGAAGCAAACGAAGAACACCTCGCAAAGCTCTTTGGCGACATTGAAGGAAGGGCTAAGCTGTGAGGTGTGACACCCTGAAGGCTGGCTGCGATATTGACATGATGGACTATATGGACAAGCTTCTCTTCAATATTTGATAACTGGGTATAACTGTAGCCGGCTAACTTTGTTTGGTTTGTTTGGTAGATATAATATATAGTGACAAATTTACTTTCGCCCAGCGAGTCTGCTCAAGTAGAGAGATGGTCGATAGTATGTTGTAGGATATTGAAGACCAAATGGCCACAAACCAATGACATGAGTGATAGTTATGTAACTAGCTATCTAGTTACGTGTAGCCACTTAGGTAGTTAGTTACTGGCTATTAGCATGCCATGCAGTATATTGAGGATAAGGGATTCGGATATTCTGCTCCTTGACGGCGCCAGCGGAAACGAGGTATTTGCTCTACTAACTCAAGATATAAATGCATTTCCGTCTATCACAGGGTGACAAAACATGCATAGCTTTCTGAAAAGAAACACCTTCCATCACTATCTTGACCTCGAAGCCTCCCCAGTCGCGTCCTCCCTGGAAGCAGCCAAAAGGCCATAGCAGACGGCTTTGCTGGCTTCCCAAACCTGGCGGCCGTTTCAAGTCATTAAAATTATATCGGCTCCAGGCCACTTCTTGCATTGCGTGTGGCCCTCAACGAGCCCATCTCCCCTTACTTTCCTCCCCACTTGGAGGACTTGCCGCCGGTGGACTGCTTCCGCACAGTGGTGGCTGATGGGGATGGAGAGACAGCTGGGCTGCCGGGGCCGTAGATGTATTCTCCGTCGACATACTGGGCACCATAGGTAAGAGTGTGTCGGTTCTTGCGGCGAGCATATCTGTTTTCCAGACGGCGGAACTCCATGACTGCGTATATACATTAGCTGGCCGTCGAGGTAGCTTGGTTGACGGATGCAGTTAATAGATAGTCAACGCACTTTCTTCAATCTTGTCCTTGAGACCCATCGTGACTGTGCTGGTTGTAAGAGCCGGCTCTTATCTTGCAGTATGTATAGAGAGAGAGGATGTCCCTTTTGGCTGAGACGGTAGATATGACAAATTAAAAAAAAAGGAAAGTAAACGACAGATATCTGGCTCGGGGTGCGGGTTGGAGTAAAGGAGCGTGGAGAGCCCTGAAGGTAAAGAAGGAGAAGAAGAAGGAAGAGAAGAAGGTAGAAGCTGTTTATTCAAGGGAGAAATAGATCAACTATATCAACGTCCTGTGGAATAAAACAACTGTGGCTACCAACATTAGGCTCAACGGGGCTCCGAAGGCGATATATATACACACGTATATACGTAGTGCACGACACCCTTTTCCTTCGGCGTGGGTATTATTATTATGTCTATACGGGTATTCTCCAGGGGTTCCAAACGAGATTAGGCAATTTCTCGCTGAATTCCGCTGATCGAAGTTATGGATCTTTGCATTAGAGTTGGCCTGCGCAGCCGTCTGGGGGGTATGTAGGTGTACGGAGAACATGTATCTCTACTTTTCAGGGTAGATTCCCGAAGACAAGGCAAAATAACAAGGACCAGCAGGTGTCTTGGAAACCTGTCAAGGCACTGACTTGTTACTGACAGGGCCGACGGGGTATAGACGGGGTTGCGCATCCTCACACCCGTCGTTTCGGGGCCTACTTTCAGGGGTTGTTCGGTTGCGCTAGTCAGGGGCTGTATCGCAACCTGACGAGCGTGGGGCTTCAGACGGGTCAAGGGAGACGGAACAAGTGCAGAGATGCGAGGTTAACTTTAAAGCACACGGTAGAGACAGGGCAATGAATGAGGTGCATGCTGGGGGGATTTCAGAGCGGGCGAGCATACGGAGACACTGGAGGCTGGAGGCTGGAGATGTGCTACAAGTCTCAGACAGTTACATGACACCGCTGCAACGCAGCAAAAACACCAAGAGACTAGCTCTCGCTAAGACAATATAGTACAGACTCTAGGCAAGCGGATAGGAGGCGAGCAAATTGCGTTTCATTTATTAATTGACATCCGCCATGTATGGTAACATGCATTGTCTATATGGAAAAAGAGGGAGACGGGCGGGAAGTATATATATATATATATATCTATATACGCAAGAGCACGCAAGTAATTGAATAATTCCCCATACTGGACGAATCTGATATCGTCATAGGGACCGGAGAGGTGGCTTACTATAGCTGGAACAAGGTGCGGGTATCTTCGAGAACATACTCCGTACGGAGTACATGCGTAAGCAAAACATAATTCCGCAGAGGGTTCCGAATATAGGGCAAGTATATCTATATATGAGCACTCTATAAGTACGCCAAAGAGGGGCGCTTGTGCGGATGTGCTTCCGTGTTGCTACACAGAAGTATAAGTTAGCTACTGGCAGTGTACACAGACAGACTATGCGGAGTTCTTCCAGGGTGGTGGTATAAGGGGTAATTATGGACTTACAGAACGTAGTCGTCTAAGCTAACGACATCCGGGTCGCTGAAGAGCAAGTAAAAATATTTGAGCGTCTCGCCTATCCAAAAGGATTCCATTTCATCCTGGAAAACAGGCTCTTTGCTCGTGACATCTTGAATGGCGGAGTGTCCGTAGTCAACCCGTGTGGCGCGCTCAATGGCCTTGAACATCTCCCAGCCCTTTTCCCGCCAGGCTTCGTCGCCGGTAATGCGATACATGATAAAGACCGACTCGATCGCCTCGGGGCGAAGGATATACTTCGCCGAGTTGACTTTTGTCATACCTGGAGGGATACGCTCGTCCCTGATATGCTTATCAACAAGCTGTGCGTGCGACATGGAGGTGGATGTAGGTACTGCCGCTCCACCCGGAACCGGTCTGGACGGATCCCCGATGATGCGGTCAGGGATAGGCGTTTCGCGTGTATCTTCTCGTTTGGCAAACTTGCCTCCAGCAGTGGGATATTGAGTCTGCTGAGGACGGCCCAGGCCTTGTTTCTTGGGGAATAGTGGCGTTGTCGGTGTACTAGTATCGGCTTTATTAATGGCAGTTGGCTGCTTCACGGCGGCGTCGCCTGCATTTCTCATGCCAATAAGGGAGTCTGGGCTGTGTTGCTGCATATGATTATAGGGGTAGACAGCGTCGTTGTATGCGGTCTGATTCCATTTGCAATTTTGCATATCCTTGCATGGAAGCACTGCAAAGGCCTCGGGCATGATTTGGGACGTGGTAACATTGTATGCCCAGACGCAGCCGTCGGTCATCTTTTTCGCAGTTTCAAGGTCTTCCTCGAGGCCAAAGAGCTTGGATCCAAGTCCAAACATACCCCCGACGAAGCAGCCAAGATGTGAGGGGTGGTATTTGTAGTCGAAACCCCTCCCGTCTCCCGCCGTGGTGGATGTGGTGGTATCTGCGATAAAGAGGATGTCCCTGGAGTCTGGAAGCATGGGCCTGAAAGCAATATGCTTCATAGTTGCATCCCTGGCTAGCTTGTACATGTTTTTATACTGGTCGTTTAGACCGCCCAGGAGAGCATACGTCTTTGGAAGATACTCATAAACCGAGTCTGCGAGGGCAGCCAAGGTGTACGTTGCACTGACTACACCAGGTGGGTATGCGAGGCCCTGCTCTTCACAGTGCTCTTCGAATTCGGTCTCAGGTCGCTGCCAGGGCTTGTCCTCGGGTATATCTAGCTTCAGAGGGGGAGCTGTATCGACTTTGGGCAACGAGGCCACCGTGCCTCCATAATTCGCAGGCTCCTCTCCTGGAAGCAAAGTGTCTCCATCTCGCTTCCCAAGACCGGCGTTGTCTTGCTGTGGTCTTTGTTGCTGCGGCAAGGACCCAGGAGCACCTGGGTTGGACGGTGGAAAGTCTGGAATCTGCTGTTGCGGTCTCTGCTTTCTTGGTAGGGATTTACACCCTGAAGCGTCCAGGAACGAAGGCCAGAGGCCAGGCACGCTTGTCTCAGGCTGCCATTTCTCAAGGGCATTTGTGATACGCGCTATTGCATCATAGTAGCGGTTGTTCTCAGTGATCTGAGCCAGTCTAGTGAATTCTATCGACATCGAGCCGAGCTCAGCCAGGACAACCCTCTTGCCCGAGCGGTGACGCTGGGATGCAAATTTCCTAAATCGCAAAAAGGAAAAGCCAAGTTAGTTGCATAACAGAAACAGACTCATGGTATAAATAGAACCAACTCACGGAGACCAAATGTAGTAGGTGACCGGCATCCTGTTTGGGGTGTCAAACGCACCCATCAGGATCTCTGCAAGCTCGATGGCCTTGTCAAGCAGAGTCCCGTACCGGCCGTCTGAGATGTCATATGCACCAATGAGACCACCGAGATAGCGAATAACGGTTTCGAACAAGGGGATATCCTTCCTCCTGCTGGTCTTGAAGTCGATCTTGCCAACGGCCCGCACGGCCTCTTCAAACTCCTCCTTCATCCCAGCTATCCAGAGCGTGTCCAGAGAATCAACCAGCGTAGCACCCCAGCCCATAAAGGGGTCTCTGTATCCGCCCGACTGAGGCCGCACTTCATCATGCATCCAGGCACGTTGTCTGTATCCGTCCCAGGCATGTTTCAACGAGTTCTTGATCCGGGCGAGTTTCTGTTCGCGTTCGTCTTTCGCTAGGGCAGATTCAGGGGAGAAGTTGAACTGGACTTTGGGCAGGTTCTTGGGCGTCCCCTTTGGTAAGGGGATGACATTCTCCGACGGAACGGGGAAGTGTTCAGGCTGCTTCTCCCATCGAGGCAAGCTTGTCTCCGAGCCATCTCCGTCCTCGTCTCCTTGTCTGCCTTTCCCACCAGGTAGATCGTGTCCGTTGTTGCTTGGTATATTGGCTGGAGGTGCGGGTACGGCTGGCGGCGGCGGTGATGGCGGCGTTTCTTCTACAGGAGGAGGAGGAGGCGGCGGCGGATTGACACCACCACCATCTTGCTGGCTCTGCTGGCCCTTTTCAGGCACCGGCGGAGCAGGAGGCGGTATTGGTTTCTGCTTATTCTCGTCCTTGACTGGAGGCTGCGGTTGAGGTTGTTGTGGTTGCTGTGGTTGCTGTGGTTGTTGCGGCTGCTGGGCCGGCTGCTTGGGGCCGTCGGGCCTCAGGACAGGGACGGGCGGCGCATACGAGGAGGTCGAGAGGCCGCCAAAGCCAGAGAAATGGATAATGGCAAGAATTGAGATGATAGAGAAGACCAGGTAGACTCGATACCGGCGGAAGCGAAACATGGTGCTGGTTCCTGTCCGCGAGGGATCTGCTCGACCGAGGCTGCTGTCTGTTCCGCGGCCCGGAGACGACGGGTCAATGAGCGAAGTCCTTGATACGGCGTGGTATGCTGAGAACGATGGGCTGGATGGCGAGAATAATCCCTACATCATCACACGAACAGTATTCAACCCTGGACGGCCTGCTGGGGGCTCTCGCTGAGCGGCGTGGAGAAGCAGGAGAGTAAAAATATTGGAGAATTCATGCAGGAGGAAGAAGAAATAAGCGTAAAAATAGCCTTGTTAGTCTTTTGGTGGCTGCACTAAAGTGGATTCGAGCGCTGGAACGGCCAGCGTTATGAAGAGAATTTGATATCAATGCTATATTACTGACTATCAGACTGATGAGCTGGCCCAGAGGGATGGCGGGAGGGGGGATATTATATAAGTCGGATGTGTATTGTGCGGATACTGTTTCGTGGATGTCTTGAAAGGACTGACCAACAACCCCTGGGACGCCTGGGGGGGTATAACTAGCTATTGACTTGACTGCTAACATCTAGAAGTCTACACCAGATAGAAAGACAGATAACTCCCAACTCCTACTCCGTGGGAACCCGTATATGCAGTGCAAATATACACAAGTGAGTGACAAGACTCCTTCACATTCCTACTGTCCTCCGGCCCTCGTTTCCTGTCATCTGGAACTGCTGGATCAGACCTAACACGCCGGCGCCCTCGACAACCTCGTTGATATCTTCTTCATCCTCCTCCCTGTCCTCGCCTTCGACCTCAGCGGCCTGGTTCATACGCCATGATTCCTCGAAGTGGCTGTCGTCTACTGCCAGTCTGGAGCTTGAGGCAGTCTTGCTGGATCCGCGGGCGGTTAGTCGGGGAGTCGCTACCTGAGACTGGGACTGGGACCGGGTCTGGGACTCGATGGGCTCTGGGATGGCGCCTCTCATGAGGTTGGGCTGGCGAGTAGGTCTGGTTCGTGGAGAGGGACCTGGAAAACGGTTTACGTTCTTGAATCCTGCGATGGGCGGCGGCGGCGGCGGCTGGTGATGAGAGTCTAGGAGAACCGACGCTAATGGTGAGATCGGCCGTGCCATGACTGGGTCGTGGGGAGGAGAGTGAAGACTGGCCATGCCCAGGTTGTGATGGATTGAGCGCTGTGGCCCGCGGTCATACGGGTTGGTGCCTGTGTCTCCGCTATTCATCCTGGGCTGCGGGTTCTGTCGTCGATGCATCATGTACGCGTGTGTCCCACCAGCTGTAGGATTGGTTGAATAATGGTCTAGGAAGCCATAGTAGGATGCTAGCATCTTGCCGTCCTGGGTAGAGTAATAGTCGTTCCGTCCGACAGGAGCACCGCCGCCAGAACTAGGACCAGCGGCGCCTGTAGCAGGAATAGTAGCACCACTTGCATCGCGGCCCTGTGGAATGATATTGTTGCCTTTCTTGAAGTCGAAAACAGCAAATGAACAAACGTATCCTAGTCCATCGACATGGACGGTGAATTCGCGGAAGAAGTCGATCAGGCGATCACTGCACTTCGGCAGGCTGAACCAGAGGACAAAGGGCGTGAAGATCGTGCTGAGTATTTCCTCGAGGAAGATAACCAGCTTCATCTGGTAGAGAAGCGAGAACTCTTTCTTGATCTCGTCGCTATGCAGCCTACCTTGCCAATGGCTAGGCTGGTAATGCGTATATTCGATGACTCTGCGGATGGCGAGTTCAGGATCAAACACCAGGTTTTCCGCTGGTATGACGCCCTGAGCTACGGCCCAGACGGAGCCAAAGATACCGAGATAGAACAGCGCCGTTCTATCGTGTGTGATTTCGAATCCGAGAAAAAGTTCCGGATCGATGATAGTTGCGAGTGCAAGGACAGAGGCAAGTGCGCTGGCTATGAAGGCCACAAAGCGAGCGAACTGGACTGTTTTGTCCTTGGGGAATTGGGCGATGTACTCGTCTGCCGCGAGTCGGGACATGTTGGTGCGGCGTTCGAATAGATGCCAGAGTTCGTTGAACTCGCGGAACTTCCACTCGGCGAGCGGGGTGTACTGTCGTGACCCGATCTGGGACGGGTTCTTCTGGTATTCGCTGAAGTAGCGGAAGAAGTAGTGCATGAGGAAGTAGGTGACGATAAAGGGGGCCATGAAGATGTTCATGAATCCCGCAAGGATGAAGCGGCGTCGAAGGCCGTCGCTTAGAGCCTTGCGGTGGGTATCTTTCAGGAAAAGGGGTCTGAGCTGGCCCTGCTGGTTGAATGCGTAGTCTAGCACGCAGAGGTTCAGGTTCCATTCTAGAGTGCGGGAGAAGAGCTGGCGTTTGCGGAGAAAGGGGACTGGTAAGGTGAGGTCGAGGATATCTTTGTTGAAGAGGGCAATGAGGTAGTTTTCCCGTCTCATGAGGCGGTTGGCGATATCGTGTGCATCCATGCGCTGTTTGGACTGGCTGCCTAGGAACTTGCGGTGTTTGGGAGACACGGCGGCGGCGGTTGAAGGGTTGGAGTCTCTGAGGGCCATGAGACGGCTGACGACTTGCTGCCAGGAGACTGTTTGGACATCGGCATCCGGGATGCCGAGAAGGTACTGATAGAAGTCTTGCATGTGTCGAAGGCGACGGAAGTCGACGGCGTACTGGAATACCTTGCCGATCCAGAATATGGTGAAGAGCCAGAGCAAGAAGGTAGAAAAGGCAGACATCTTGCGCACGCACCCGGGTATGAGAATCTGGGACATGGTCTTGCTATGCGGCACTCTTCTGTAGTCGATGCAGCTGGAGAGAAAGGTAGTAAACCCGACTACAAACGCCAGGGTTCTACAGCAGTTAATATACGCCTACCATAGATATATATATATATATGTATAAAAGAAGGAGAATGTAAGGTGACTTACATCAAGTTGAGGGCTCTGCTTAGCATGATGCTCCAGATGCCGTTCCCAAGGAAATAATCATACACTTCCTGCAAGAAGTTATCCAGATTCTCCACGTTCGCCCACCTCCACAGGGCCTTCTCTCTGGGATCAGCCAGACGCAGGGCAGCATTCTGCTTCACGCCCCAGACACGCGGCGGGCCTTCCTGCTCAGCTATTCTCGGGGCCGTGGTCTCCCATCTGTTGTTGTTCCGGGCCTGGCCAGAGGGAGAAGCAGAGGATGGTCCACGTAGATGCAGTGAATGTTCGCCTATCCCACTCGACCTTAACGGATGCATGGGCGGAGGAGGCAAAGGGGAGCTCGGCACCGCATGTCCTTCCACCAGCAAGGAGGCGGGCACTTCATCGTCGGCCTCTGTATCTTCTGCTCCACCGGCACTACCACCAGCACCAGCACCAGCACCAGCACGAGAACCAGCGCGAGCACGACCAGCATGAAAAGCCGAGGTTACGTTTACATTATTCCTAGGCGCTGACCGACGCGAAAAGGGGCTGCTCTGTCTGGACTGGCTATCCGAGGCCTGCGCAAGGGCGTCTTCCAGCTCGTAGTCGGTGTACTGCTGGCCGACCAGGTTCTCTTCGTCGACCGCCATGCCGGCGCGGTTCTCGACGTCGGAGCCATCTGAGTCGCCGTCATCGTCGTACTGGCGCAGAGTCTCGTAGATGGACGGGGTAGTGCTGGTGTTTATGGGCATGAAGCGGTTCATGGTTGGTGCTTTTGACGTCACGGAGTAGCTAGGATACAGCTTCGCATATCATCACCATTGGCCGGACTCATATTCTGTAGCTATAGCTGATAGCTGACACTGCAGAGAGAGAGAGAGAGAGAGAGAGTCAAGATGGGTTAGCCGTCGGTATTAAATAAGTTGTAAAAGAGCCAAACCGCTTTATCCCATGGGCTGTGTTTCTCTGCCTAGCCATGGGCTTCTGTGAGGTCACAAGGAGGTGTCTGGTGGGAGCTAGTTAACCAGAGGAACGCACCTTGATAGCTGGCTAGTTAGTAGTTACTGGCACAGACAGATCATCGACTGCTGCGAGAGTACCGGCAAGGCTTTATATGCTAGTATTCATCGTCCATGCAACTTGAGTTGTCGTCGTCGTCGTCGTCGTCTTCGTCTTCTTCTTCCGCTTCTTTTCGTCTTGACGTTGAAGTTGACGTCGAACCATACCGGATAAAGTATGTTTTGCGGCACTACTATCTTCCGTAGCCCGACGGTGTCCGAATGGAGCTAATATATTCCGACCTAATTAGACGTATTAAATAAGTAATAATAGATATACTATTACTTCTTTTAGATATCTTTCTACTATTAATATATATTACTAGCGAGTTATACTATAGATACCCTCCTTATCTTTTTAGATACTATTAATATACTTACGGAGTACTACTAGGTAAGTAGATTACTCTTCTATATATAGAGAATTAGGGGTTATTAGTATTAAATTTAAATATATATCTATTATATCTATCTAGCTAATATTATTAGAAACTATTATTAGCTACTAATTATTCTCCCGGCCTTATAACTCTTATAGAAATATAATATTCTATATATAAGTAATAAAGAAACCTCCCTAATAATTTAACTAAATAGTATTATTATAAGTAATATTAATTAGAATAATAAAAATAGTAAATTTAACTATAGAAACTCCTATAACTATATATTTATTAGTATTAGCTATATATAGAATAGGGAATTATAGAATAGTATCTTACTAGATAATTTATATTAGAATAATATATAGAAATATCTACTTAGTATTACTAAGTATATATATAAAGATTATAATAATCTAGCTAATATTAGTATTCTAATATTTAATAATATTATCTTAAGTAATAATAGTACGATATTCTTACTTATTAAAAAATAAAGCTTACTTTTTAGAAAAATTTAATAAAATATAGTCTAAATTTAAGTATTAAAATCTTCTTCTAATCTTCTTTATATACTTTATATAATATTTTAAGGAATAGATATATATTCGGAAGCTTAAATATCTTTATAAATAGTAATTATAGCTTTACTATTATTAAATTTACCTTCTCCTTAGCCTAGATATTAATAGTCTAATAATAATATATATTAGGAATCTTAGTATTAATATATATAATTATAATTTATAGGTAACTAGT